AGAACACTGTCATTAGCATTAACAATCTGACCGTAGATATCATTTTCACCATTAACATTTTACGAATACGGTCATGTACAGTGTTGTACCTCCGTAATATATACAGTAAGAGAATGTCTATCACCTCAGTTTTTGCACTTTGTGAAGTTCTCGGATGTGCCAACCTTGTTGCTCAAATAACTGGTACGTGGTCAGAAATAATCCTCATCCTGTTAAAAAATTGTTAACTTTTATGGTGGTTACAAATTTCAGTACCAGAGCCAAGCAACGCAAAATCGTACGACTCGGATCCTGCGATGCAGACTTTCAACAATGGTCATGAAAGCGGCACATTCTATTCGCATCCCGGCTTTTCAAGCCATCCCCGACGGCCGTACGTCGCCGGAACAAAGAAGCGATTCGCTGTTGTTTTGCCATCTTATTGTCGAGCGAAGCTGTCCCTGGACATGACCAACGCTAGCAATTTTAACATTCGTGATTATGATTTCGGAGTGATGTTCGACGGGGCACTGGCTCTGAATCTTGGAACGTCCATGTGCGACCGTAAAAGTTATGACAACCTCCAACAAAGTACGATTACAATGATTTATACCAACACGCCATAAAAAAATTTAAATTATCATGTAAAATTAATATACCAAGTAAACATTTAGAACTGACTCATGAAATATACGTACAATTTCTGCATTAATTTATATGCAATTCCTCTTGCTTTCAGAAGGCACCAACAACTACCAGTGTAAGCACTTCCAGCTTAAACATTTATTTCTAAACGAAATGTATGTATAAAGAAATGGCTTGTTTTTACTTAGTGGTGAAACCTTCCGATAAGTCAGCAGCTCGAACCTTTCTAAGCAGCACCAACGTGGCGGTGTTTGACTTTTGCGCTCACCTGTACAATTACAAGGATACAGATGCCGCGCGCAGACTGGGATTCGCTGTTAAGTGGAGCTGTGTTCGCAGTTCGCCGAGCCCCAGTACAATTGTACAGAGGACAACCACCACTAAACGTTTAACCACCAAAAGAGCCACCACTAAACGTACGACCAGCATGACCCGTCGACCAACCACCGTTCCAACCCATCCCACAGTGGCGCCGGTTAACACCGATTGTGGTGTTCCGATTGACTCGGACAATCGACCGGCCTCCATGTTCCAGCGCATTGTCGGTGGCGTGACGGCCGCACCGCACGCCTGGCCATGGGCGGCTGCTTTGGTATACGCTTTAAATAGCACCCCATATCACGGCTGCGGTGCCAGTGTGGTACGTGGAGCCGGGGCTACTTGTTTATTAACTGCGGCATAACACCACTCAATTATAAGTGAAATAATTTTTTAACAATGAAGATTAATGAATAAATTATTGAATACAGTATGTGCCGTTGTGGCCAACAAATTTTGCGTATTCGAACAATTTAATCACTTTGAAATACCAGGTCTGATGTTGTCTGCTGCAGTTGAACAGTCAGTGGGTTATTACCGCCGCGCACTGCATTGTAGCCCCGGAAGCGATCTACCAGAAAGGCATGAAATTATTGTACAACGTACTACATCTACCACGTCAAATATAGGAACTGCTAATGCTTTAAATTAGTTAGAGTTAATATACAATGCAGTTTCAAAATGACCGCTGCACTGCAAATTTGGTATCGGCTTGGGGCCTTCAATACGTTAAGGTGAACTTCGCTTTTAGGTTTATTACGGCAATCAAAATTTGTTAAACGTCACTGCCAGCCAGGTAAGTGTTCAAGGTTTTCCGTCCGACGCATTTAAATTTCCAGAACTAACTACATATATAATTTGCTCTCACAAATAGAAGAGCATAATAGCATTGAACTTTGCAAATTTAGAACGCCAGCATTGCTCGCGTTATACCCCATCCAAATTACAATTCGAAAGGAGACCGTGGCAATGATATTGAACTGATTAAGTTAACTGCGCCCATTCCGAATTTCCCTAATTCCTTGGTATCGCCTATCTGTCTGCCCAATCATGCAATCGGGACTTTCAAAGCGCATTCGTATGCCACCAATGGTCGCCCGTATGCGTATGTGGCCGGCTGGGGAAGCCTGTACTACTGTCGGTGCATATGGCTTTCTGATGATGTGATCTTAAAATTATAGGTACCGGTGACGGAAAGGTTGCAGTCGGCACTGACCAGCTCCAGCAGACCAATATCGAAATAATTAACAGCAGTGACTGTGAAGCGGCATACGACCGGATTTTGCGAGTCCCGGACAATGTGGTATTGCTAATTCGCCACTAAATTTGGCAACTTTGACAGTTTAAATTCACATCATTTTGAATTCTTCGTAAAATGGTAGATTTGTGGAGGCCTTGATGAAGGTGGACGGGACACGTGTCAAGGTAAACTATTCCCTATCACCTAAAAGACGCGAGCTTTTCACGGTTGCGTGGCGCTCGTGCTGTGTTCATACATTTTACACGGTACCACTGTCACTATTACGATTCCCTGCCGATTAATTTGAATCGATTGCCTCTTCCGATCTCTGTCCAAAGCACAATCCTAAAACATTTAAAAGCACATAAACTTTTAGCAAGTTTTAGCGCTGCCACCCTGAAATGCGCTCTCGAATGACAAGTTGTCACTTGATTGTAGGGGACGCTGGAGGACCCCTTGTTATGGCAGAGCCACCCAGTTACAACAGATACTCACTGTACGGAATTGTATCGTTCGCTGCAAAATGTGCCGAAGCCGGTTCGCCTGGGATATGCACCGACGTTTTCAAATTGAAAAAATGGATAGCGAACACAATGGTCTCCAACTAGTAAATTTTTGGAAGATCGTCCAGAGAATAATGGGCCCAAACGGTTCACAGAGATTAAAAGTACTGTAAAAGTGTAAGCTGTTTATCCGCAAGACTTCCTCTGGGACTGACCACTACAACGCTTCTACAAAAATTCAACATTAAATGATTGTGTGATTTTAAATATGTTTTTGTCGCTTGCGCGTCTTGTCGCACCAGATGAAATTTCCATCTGTAACTGACGTTATGTTGATTTCTCATCAATATTACATACGTGCATTTTATTTATGTATTTGTATGAAGACTTGAAAATAAAATAATTATACGACTGCTTAATGCAAAATTAGCAACAAATTAGCTTTGTATTTTATTTGCGGCTTTTGCATTCCTGATGAGGGCCTCTTGACGTTTCTGTTTGTGGGTAAATTACAACTTGTGTACGAGTACAATTCTGTATGGTGACATAGGGCACCACTTTTGCGGAACGCGTTGTTGTCCAGCACTGGACCAGCAGGTTACCGAAGCAGGCAGTACATGGGCCCACACACTAATGATACTCCGGGGCCGATAAAGTTTTGGTACCATTGAATAAGACTACGTTTTTTTATGTTTTATTCGATCCTTCGTATTTCTGATTTTGGATCGTTCGAATGATCCAAAATAAGAAACACATCTGTAGCGAGATATCTGTAAAATTTTACAGATATCTCGCTCACACAGACGTTTATCTCATAGCCTCAGATCAGCGCTTCTTTCGGTGCATGTGTGCACATTACAATACAGAGCCATTTTAAGGTCACAAAACATGATATCCTGCAAATTTTTTGGTTGCGATACTTTTATCAGACGTATGTTACGTCACATTAAAGTGATGTCAGGTCCTGCAAACTGAATTAATTTTGCTTCCCATGTAACAGTTGGGTCACCTGTCGGCAGTTTCAGTTTCACATTGGTCATTTACCTGATATAATTAGCAAAACATGACAAAGTCGAAGCGCTGCACTAGCTACCTTCGAGCATTTCCTAGTTTTCTGTATTCATTTTTAGTTAATTTCTACATGTGACAAAGTAATGACAGAAAGTCTTTTTTCCCTCAACCTCGTTGCTGAATGCGCATGTAATTACGAAGTAGCTAATTGAAAGAACCACCACGTCAAGTCATCCCTGGTTATCCCGCCACAAAATAGCAAAACATCCGTAGCATGAATGACGCAACGTAAGTGAAATTGCGCAAATTTTGCTATTATCTAAATTACCAAACGAATAGGAACGACCAGCAGACTAAAAGCAAACCATCTAGGCCTAGCTCATGCTGCTTTTCAGCAGTTTCTTGAGCACACGCAGCTTGCTTGTTTCACTTCTGGTGAGCGGGCGCTTCTACTGCATCGCCGCAGCTATAATACTCGTATTATTTTAAAGGAATAACTGCGCAAAAGGCCATGGCCAATATCAATTAATCAGGAAGTGGCGATACACACAGACACAAGAGAAAAACTACTCCAGAAACAAATTTTACTTTTAAATGCTTAAATTTTAACTACGAAGTAGTGTCCCGGCGTTGCAGTTGTTTGTTATTTTGATGGGTATTGCCTACTAAAAGCAGCACTTGCAATTGTTAAAAACCATTTTGAACGTTTTAAAAAGAGTTATACATCAAGAAACAGTATTTTTGTATGCTGCCAATTTTGATCTCCCTCCATAATTAAGTCCCCCCACCCTCGATACAGCTTTCTTCCACCAACATAACTTATTATTTTTTATATACGAGTATTCATTACACTTCCGGTGTTTGGCCGCTTCTGCTGCAGCCGTTATTCATAGAGTAACAGGCCAAGATAAAGTATTTTACTATATTTAAGATACCGTATTTGTATCTCCCTTCATAATTTAGTCCCCACACCCGCGATACAGCTTTCAACGAACAAGAGCATCATGCACTTTAATTCTTTCCAGTTTGCGCAATTTCGTGAAAAATGACGTTAATCCGTTAATCGTGTTCTAATGCGACACAAAGTCACGTGATATAACAGGTACCAAAACCACCCTTGAAGAAATCGCTCCTTTACTCAACGAAAGTGTTGTCTACTTGACAGATTGTCGATTTTCTGGATTCAGCATTAAACTGCGCATAATAGTGCTAATTCATACATTTTTCTAATGGTTTAGTCCGAAACGTGACACGTTCTACTTCCTTCTTCGATAAGGATCTGCCACAAAAAGGTCCAAACTAGCCGTTAAGAAACCTCGTGTTAACATTCTGAATCTTTCCGTAAAGGAACTTTTTTTAAATTAAAATTGTACGGAGTACGGACTGTGTACAACTGTAACACATAAGAGAATGTTCACAACCTTAGTTTTTGCAATTTGTGTGCTCCTGAGTTGGGTGGCTGCTCAAATGTTTAGTAAGTCGTCATAAATTTCTAATATTTCCGTTTTGAAATTAAACTTATTTTATGGTAACATAAACTTGCAGTACCACAGCCATACAACGCACAATCGTTCGACTCGGATCCTAAGATGAGGACTATTAACAGTGGCCAAGAAACCGGTACATTCTTTTCGCACCCGGGCTTTTCTAGCAAACCGCGACAGCCGTACGTCGCCGGAACAAAGAAGCGATTTATTATTGCTTTGCCCACGTATTGTCGCGCCCTGCTGTCTCTGGACATGACCAACACCAGCAATTTCAACATTCGTGATTATGATTTTGGAGTGATGTTCGACGGGAAACTGGCTCAGAATCTGGGGACGTCCATGTGCGACCTCAGTAATTATGTTAAACTCCAGCAAAGTGCGTACGGTTATAACAATTTTCATTACACGAGGTAAATTACGAGTACACACTGTACCTATGTATTGCATGTATTATGTAAACTTGCAATGTGTTTCTTTTCTTTGCAGAGGGCATTAATTACCAATGTAAGGTTCCCCAATTGTATTTGATATCTGAAAATAACGCAGACAAACTGATGCCTTTTCTTATGTTAGCGGTGACCACGTCCGACATGTCAGCAAGCCGAATCTATTTAAGCAGCACCAATGTGGCGGTGTTTGACTTCTGCGTTGACCCGTACAACAGGGATATCGACATGACGCGCAGATTGGGATTCTCCATCAACTGGAGCTGCATTCGCACTCCGGCGACTCCAACAACAGCACAAACGACAACCACGACGCCTGTTAACACTGTTGATTGTGGTATTCCGATGGGCTCAGGCAATGGACCGGCTTCCGTGTTCCAGCGCATTGTCGGCGGCGTGCCGGTCGCGCCCCTCTCCTGGCCGTGGGCGGTTGCTTTGGTTACAGGAGGACAACATTTTTGCGGCGCTAGTGTGGTACGTAGGTACTTAATCAAAACTGCACAGCATTACGTTTCTGAAATAATTTCGCACATTAATGCAGACTTGGTCGTCAAATGTGCGATCATGTGAGTCGAAAATAATTTTAACGGAATGTTTTAAAGACTCCAAATTTGCAGTTAAATGTTGTTTTTTTTGCAGTTAAACAACCAGTGGGTCGTTACAGCCGCACAGTGCATTGATCCCAGTACTGAAACACAATTCAAGCAATTCGTACAGGTCATTATTGCACGAGACATAGAACTTACAGAAGTATACCATGTCAAATAATAGAATTGCTTACGGTTTATACCCGTTACAGCGCATACAATATAACTTAAAACAATGTATTAACAGTATCTTTGCACGGACAGCTTTAAATCTGGTGGAGACAACTGGGCCGTTTAAAGACAACGTTAACATGACGTTAATATGAAATCCTTCATTAGGTCTATTACGGCAACCAAAACTTGTCGAAGATTCCTGACAGCCAGGTAAATATCTCTCGCAGTCTTCTTTTAAATTTTGAAATGAACTGTACTTAAGAATAACTAGCATAAAGATTATCAAGATAACAAGCGGAATTTAGTTTACAAATTTAGAAAGTCACCGTCGCCCGCGCTATCATGCATCCAAATTACAATATAAACAACTTGAACAATGATGTTGCACTGATTAAATTAACTGCGCCCATTCCGAATTTCCCTAACCCCATGGTATCGCCTATCTGTCTGCCAAGTCAGCCAATCGGGACTTTCAAAGCGCAGTCATCTAGTACCAAAGGTCGCCCATATGCGTATGTGGCCGGCTGGGGGACTCTGCACGAGGGACAATGTAAGGATGAATCCATTATATTAAATTACACTCCCAGCTTTTGTGGCTTTGCCGATAAAGCAGCCTTAAAATTGCAGATGGAGGCGATGCAACGATTGGATTAGGCAGTGACCAGCTCCAGCAAATCAGTATAGAAGTATTTAACAACAGTGAATGTCAGGCGGCTTACCCCTCTTGGCGATTGCCAGACACTTCGGTAATGATAATTCCCCACTCATTTTGACAAAAGGTCAGATTATTTTTGAATTCTGCATTCAATGCTAGATTTGTGGAGGTTTGGATCAAGGTGGACGGGACGCTTGTCAAGGTACGATCACCTTCACGGTACTTAAAATGAGTCGATTGCTGTCTTTTTACGGTGGCTTGACGCATTTACGTACAAGACTCATCTAGTTCTAGATCTTTATTACCACGAACAGAAAAAACTGCATACACCAATGCCAGAATCCCAGACCGAATTAACAAAAACCACTGCTATCATCGGAAAGCCCATGTTCTAAAACGCGGCCAGAGGGTGTTCGTTTTTTTCGAAAATGCATTCAAGCGACCAAACACATCACCTCCAAAAGCCGGGTCTGCCATGTAAAGTTAAAGTTCATCCATACTTAATAACAGTATGTCTATACTTACGAAATTACTGTTGCTACGTTAAAAATATTAAGTTTGAAAATAAGTGACCTCAAAGAAGACAAATATTCGGTTAACCCATAAAGGATTAATTGGGTCTTATGGGATTGAATATTGATTACCCCTTTCTAATTGTCGAACATAAGAAAATGCGTGAAACGTAAAAAAACGTCGAAAATATTACGCTGATCAGAAATCTTTCAGTCAGAAAATCGCTGACAAAAATCTGCATCATGTGCCCAGACAGGCATTCAAATCGTAAAATGCAATTGTGCAAAATATAGTACGAAATACGAATCACTACGAGGTAATTAGTGCTCATTTCACTGACCAAACACACAAGATACTCGTAATTACACTGAATGAGTGACCAAACTACCACTGCTATCTAGTGCACACTTCCCATTAGGTAAATGAGTGACTAAACTACCACTGTTATCTAGTGCACACTTCCCCTTAGGTGAATGAGTGACCAAACTACCACTGCTATCTAGTGCACACTTCCCATTAGGTGAATGAGTGACCAAACTACCACTGCTACCTAGTGCACACTTCTCGTTGGGTGAATGAGTGACCAAACTACCACTGCTATCTAGTGCACACTTCTTGTTGGGTGAATGAGTGACCAAACTACCACTGCTATCTAGTGCACACTTCCCATTAGGTAAATGAGTGACTAAACTACCACTGTTATCTAGTGCACACTTCCCCTTAGGTGAATGAGTGACCAAACTACCACTGCTATCTAGTGCACACTTCCCATTAGGTGAATGAGTGACCAAACTACCACTGCTATCTAGTGCACACTTCCCATTAGGTGAATGAGTGACCAAACTACCACTGCTATCTAGTGCACACTTCTTGTTGGGTGAATGAGTGACCAAACTACCACTGCTATCTAGTGCATACTTCCCATTAGGTGAATGAGTGACCAAACTACCACTGCTATCTAGTGCACACTTCCCATTAGGTGAATGAGTGACCAAACTACCACTGCTACCTAGTGCACACTTCCCGTTGCGTGAATGAGTTACCAAACTACCACTGCTATCTGCTATCTACCACTGCTATCTGCTGCTATCTGCTACCACGTATACGGTATACCTATACAGATCCACTGAGGACCACAAGAAATGCGGAGGCGAAGCCGACGTCATTTCTTGTACTGTATATTTCCACGATAATTATTGTGATTTCCTGGACGTGTAATTTTTGAATCGATTATTGTCTCTTATCGGAAGCCCAGAACGCAAACCTTGTCCATTTAATTAATCAAAGCTGAATTAAAGCGCTTAGCGTGTCTTCACGGTCAAGCTGAAATGAACTAGTCCGAATGCCAAGTTGTCACTTTGATTGCAGGAGATTCCGGAGGACCCCTAGTGATGGCCGAGCCACCCAGTTACAACAGATACTCGCTGTACGGAATTGTATCGTCCGGTCGGGGTTGCGCGAATCCCGGCACGCCGGGACTGTACTCCGATGTTTTCAAAGTGAAAAAATGGATAATGGACACAATGGCCGCAAATTAGTAAATTTTTTGAAAACTAGTCGAAGGACTGCCCGAGACTTCTACAGAGCCTTGCGTTAAACTACATGTTCGCTAAACCATATCTGTAACTGTCCTGTGGAGCGCTGTCTGTTTCCGATAACGTGCGTTTGAAATACGTCTTTTTCGGTTTCTCGCACCAGATGAAACTTCCTACTGTGAATTCTGTTACATTTTTTTATCATCCTAACTCATTAGTATGCGCATTTTTTTCATAGCATGTAAAATTCAGCCTTCATATTATTTTTAAAACAAAATTATCAGCAAAACAGGGTATTTTGTAGCTCTGCATTCTGAATGCGGTCTTTGCATTCCTGATGAGGTTTCAACTCCGTAGACGTACCTTACTCAAGCATTTACGAAACACATAATACGTAGCTAGTACTAGTAGCTACTGTATAACCGATAGAAATATAATTGCGTCACTATGGCGTTTTTTGGAGCCCACTTTGGTCGCTGAAGCCCCGGCTTCAGGGAAGCTGGTACCCTCGGCAGTCGGCTGGGGGCAGTGACCGTGGGTCAGCGAAAAGCCGGCCGACCGGGGATCGGGGGAAGAGAGCGACCACTGCCCTGCCCAACCGAAAACCCCTTTATTGAGCACCCGCGAAAAAAGAGAAAGAAAAACAGATGGATATGGTAGGTGGTACAAGATTGGATTGTTTGAGAGTTTACCCTTCCTATGGTGACTTAGACATTGTTTCCCTATACCAGCCCTTAAAGCCGCTACCCGAAAACTTTATTGAATTCTCTAAAGTCAAAAAGAAACCGTTCGCTCAACAGTATCGAATCTGTCACCTTTTCTATTACAATGGGAAATTTCCTGTAATCATTAATCACCCAAGTGTTGTAAAGATGCCTACAGTAGTCATTAACGTTTTGGTAAATAATTGCGACGAGCAATTATAATGTCTGCACTTTAGCACAATGCGTAGCGCTTATTACATCGGTATATGTACAAGACAGCACCGCAGGAAACAGCGTATAGGGTGTCATTTCAGGGAGGAATTTGTAGTACGACCGTGTAATTTATAAACTGAAAAGCTGCCAGGAATAAACAATGGGTAGTTGGCAGTAAGCAGCATGTCACACTAAAAATAATATAAAGGTGAGACTATTGTCACCCCCCGCACCCCTTTTTGGCTAATCTCACCTTCTGCAGTGTGCACCCCGTTTTGACTATAGTCACCCCCTTTTTTGAAATAAAATAAACAACCCTTTTGACTGTTGTCACTACCTTTCCAACCCTCCTTGTCTTTGACTACTGCCACTCCCTGGTCATTTCTTATAAGTAACAAACACATCGTTGCGGGGATGGGTGTTGTTAGTGCGGACAGCCAGCTGTTTATGATTGATCACTGCCGGCAAAACCCCCGGTAGTCGGTACCCGCTCTGTCGAAGTCTTAAGTGATAAAGAAGTCTTAAGATGAACCGGAAGCGTTGACAGTGACACCCGAATTCTGTTTCCGCGCGTGCAGCAGCAAAAGGATGGTCATAATTGTGGACATTTTCGCGATCGCATTCGCTGCGGAGCTCATTAGCAAAAAAGCCCTGAAGATGAAGTCAAAAAATGAGGCCGCCTTTTAGCGTTGCAGTGCAGTGTCCATAAGCATCGCTTGGCCGGCGCCTTTCCTTGCCAGATGTGGCATAAACAGAGTAAAAAGACCCGCTGGTGCCACAATTATGAGCAATAAATCGAAAGCTGCATGGTGGCAATAGTCAAAAGGGCGTGTGGTAAAGAGTGACAATAGTCCAAGGGAGTGCTTAATTTATTACAAAAAAGGGGTGAGAATACTTAGTCAAAAAAAGGTGCACGGGGGTGACAATAGCCATTTCCCTTATATAATGGGCAGTTACATACCTTGTACAATGGTTGGACACAAGACATTCATCATCTTTCCGCTGTTAACACTGGTGTCTGCAGTCTCTTTAGTCTAAAAATGTAGGAAATCATTGTGTGAAATGTAAACAGCCAGGATCAGTGGATGTTTACATACCGGTTTACATTTTTAAGTACCGGGGTTTCTGCTGAAAGTTGGACCTTAGATTTCGGAGCACAGATCATCCACAAATTCTCCGGTCTCGATAGCCTTATGTCGCTTCGCTGCTCTAATTTACGCGGAGTTGATTTTTGTTTGCTATGATGGAACTGTGTCCACATGTAGAATTCGAGGAATTGTACAAAGTCACGTCAGTTTTCACCACATTCAGAGAACAAAAGTAGTGGCGGTAGCGCACTACTAAGAGCCGCCCTTGAAGCACTCGCTCCTTTACTCAGCGAACGTGTTATCTACTTGAAAGACCGTTGATTTTCTTAATTCAGCATTAAACTTCACAATATTGCTAAATCATACATTTTTCCAATGGCTTAGTCCGAAACGTGACACGTTCTACTTCGACGAGGATTTGCTATAAAAACCTACAAGATAACCAGTAAGAACACTGTTATTTGCATTAATAATCTAACGGTAGTCCGTAAATATCATTTTCTCCATTAAAATTTTAGGATAAGCTAGTATACTTCCGAATATATATTAAAGGAAATGTCTATCACCTCAGTTTTTGCACTTTGTGAAATTCTCGGTTGTGCTAACCTTGCTGCTCAAGTAATCGGTATGTTTTCCGAAATTGATTCCCACCCTGGATTAAAAATTATCTGATGGTAACGGTAACATCAAATTTCAGTACCACAGCCAAACAACGCAAAATCGTACGACTCGGATCCTGCGATGCAGACTTTCAACAATGGTCATGAAAGCGGCACATTCTATTCGCATCCCGGCTTTTCAAGCCATCCCCGACGGCCGTACGTCGCCGGAACAAAGAAGCGATTCGCTGTTGTATTGCCATCTTATTGTCGAGCAAAGCTGTCCCTGGACATGACCAACACCAGCAACTTCAACATGCGTGATTATGACTTTGGAGTGATGTTCGACGGGGCATTGGCTCTGAATCTTGGAAAGTCCATGTGCGACCGTGCTAGTTATGACAATCTCCAACAAAGTACGACTGCAATGCTTTGCAACAACATAATGTATTTAAATTGGTAACTAAAATCACTGTAGGAAGTACAGCGCAATGTAAGTACTGTACCTAAAAAATTAAAATACATGTGAAATTTTTTGCATTACTTCATAAGCATTTCCTCTCTCTTACAGAAGGCAGCAACAATTACCAACGTAAGCTTTTCCAGCCTAAGTATTTATTCCTTAACTGGTAATGTATGTACGTATAAAGAAATGTCTTTTCTTAGTGGTGAACCCTAACATTAAGTCAGCGACTCGAACCTTTTTAAGCAGTACAAATGTGGCGGTGTTTGACTTCTGCGCTCACCCGTACAACAAGGATACAGATGCCACGCGCAGATTGGGATTCGCCACTAAGTGGAGCTGTGTACGCAGTTCGCCGAACCCCACAACAGTACAGAAAACAACCACCACTAAACGTACGACCACCAAGAGAACCACTACTAAACGTACGACCAGCACGACCCTTCGACCCACCACCGTTCTAACTCATCCCACCGTGGCGCCGGTTAACACCGATTGTGGAACTCCGATTAACTCGGACAATCGGCCGGCCTCCATGTTCCAGCGTATTGTCGGTGGTGTGAAGCCAGCACCCAATGCCTGGCCGTGGGCGGCTGCTGTGGTTGCGTCTGAGCAGCTTCATTTCTGCGGCGCCAGTGTGGTAGGTAGGCTACTCCTTTGTCATAACATTAGTTACGTGAAGTTGTTTTTGGCCAAAACCATTAACTGCATGGTATAAAAAAATTAAAAAAACTGAATTACGGTATTCGTACCCAATTTTATTGTTGTTCACTGCAGCTCAACAGTCAGTGGGTGATTACCGCCGCGCATTGCATTAAAAAAGTTGGTACGGAAGAAAACTTCCAGAAAGCCGTGAAGGTAATTATACGTGCTATTAGTACTGTACGTCACATATGCAGCGTCAAATATGGAACTGCTTGTGCTTTATTCCTGTTGGAGTTGATGTACTGTAATTTAAAATACGAGTACAGTAAAATCCCTCTACTACATACACCCTCCGTTCCCAGCTCTCTGAATGTTGTAAAGAGGTGTATGTTACACAGGGGCACTGCCCCTGGGGGTGGTCAATGACTCACCCCCAGGGGGCTGGCCATATATTGGTCAATAGCAACTAAACACGGTGCCGCTAATGTTTTGCTTACAAATTTATGTTAATCCTCCAAAAAATGGCTCTGCAGCGCTTTTGTTGAGCATGCCTTTTCGAAAAGCTGCTGTGTTACTGGCAGTTTATTCTACAGAATAAACCGGTAACCATTAATTTTCAACGCCTTTTTGCTGCTTTTACTGTCAGATCTGTCAACTTTCAGATCTGTCTGAACTTTCTTTGAAAAATTTCTGCGCTTATTCAGCCAGCTGTATGTAACGCAGGGGTTGACTGTATGTTAAATACTGTAGGCGGTTCCACGAAAGGTGTATGTTATACTTATAGAGGGGTGAATGTTATATAGAGAACCGCCACTATATTATAATCCACCGAACAGTTCGGTTCCCAGCCGCACGTATGTAATAAAGAGGTGAATGTTGTATAAGGGTGTATGTAACGAGGGGTTTTACTGTAACTAGATCTTTATGGTCAACGGATAACATTAAATCTGATAGCGACTAAAGGGTCGTCAAAACGCTAATGTAAAGAAATTGGTTGTAGATTTATTACGGCAGCCAAAATTTGTGGGAAGTTCCTGACAGTCAGGTAAGCGATACTCTTAAGGGTACTACTACCGCTATTTCGGTTTTAATTCAAAAAAGTCATTTCCCCAAAACTAGTAGTCACACAAATGATGTGTACTTTCTCTGACGGTAAAAGATCATAACAATGCGCCGCTAAATTTCGAAATTAAACCAGGGGTATGCAAAAACTGCTCTTTCCTGGAAACAACCTAATGGCAGAGTATCTTACAAATTTAGAAAGCCAGCATCGCCCGCGTTATTATCCATCCAAACGTGACTGAGAAAAACTGGGGCAATGATATGGCACTGATTAAGTTAACAGCGCCCATTCCGGATTTCCCTAATTCCATGGTATCGCCTATATGTCTGCCAAGTCACGCAATCGGGACTTTCAAAGCGCAGGCATACAGTACCAAGAATCGCCCGTATGCCTATGTGGCCGGCTGGGGAGCACTTAAGGCAGACCAACCCAAGCCAACCTTAGCCGACTTCAAGAGTAAAAATGATTTATCATACGAAAGGCTATTACCAGTGTACATGACTTTGCCGGTAATGTAGTCTTAAAATTGCAGATGGATTAAACGTGACAGTTGTAGCCGGTAGTCACCAGCTCATGCAAACCACTATCGAAGTTTTTAGCGACAAAGAATGTCACGCGGTATACGACGGGACAGACATTGGATCATTAGCGGACGCTTCGGTAATGCTAATTCTGCACGAATTTGACAAAAGACAAATAATTATTATTTTGAGTTCTGCGCACACTACTAGATTTGCGGAGGGCTTGTTGAAGGTGGACGGGACGCTTGCCAAGGTAAATTCCTTACTACTTAAAATGCACGGATTGCTTTCTTTTTGAGCCATTGTTGCACATACTGTCATACATGATAAACTTTACACAATAAATACATTTCTAAATGTTTTAAGTTTTTGAATGGGTGGTAATCTCCTATCTCAGCTCAGATCCCTGGTACATCTAATCGGCACTAAGAATGCCTAGCTTGTTATCGCTGCCAAACTAAAATGCTTTAAAATAAATTAAAGCGTTGTTGTCAAAATGGCTCAGTTTGGTTGGTACAGTACGAAATTGAAAATAATCAAAACAAATTTCGACGTAATCGACAAAATTCTGGCGCCCCAAAAAAGGGCAAGCCGACTTGCATACATTACGATCTCTAGATGTTTAGCTGTTGAATTGGTCGTCATCTCCTATCCTGTCTCAGTCGAGACTCAGTCGCGGGTCAATTTTATCAAAACTGAAAAACCTTCGGTGTCATCGCTGCCACACTGGAATGAATTTTCGAATGACAGGTTGTCCCTTGATTGTAGGTGATTCTGGAGGACCCCTCGTAATGGCCGAGCCCCCCGGTTACAGGAGATACTCGCTGTACGGAATTGTTTCCCAGGGTCGGAGCTGTGCCGATCCCGGTGTGCCTGGGGCGTACACCGATGTTTTCAAGTTGAAAAAATGGATAACGGACACAATGGCCTCTAACTGAAGAATTTTTGGAGCTTCCAGAGGTTACTGCGCAAAGATTATTCAGCAGAGCTTTTTTAAACTATTTATTCGCAAGGTCACAGCCGTCGCTGACCAGTAAAACCCTGTGGTCCCGAAAATTCGTTGTTCAAAATATTTATGTTTTCGTGGTTTGCTATCTTTGTTGCACCAGATGAAATTTCCATTGGTGAATAATGAAATATATCAATATTTGAACATGAATTCATGAATATATGAATATGAAATTATTACATGTACACATTTTACTCACGTGCGAAGGTAGCACAGCGCGGTGTTTATAATACAACTTTCCATGGTTGCAGCCACGGTTTTGAGTCGAAAATTGTGAACGACCAGCCAAGTCAGCGTACTTACTGCACTTCCGGCGTTCGGCCGCTTCTGCCACAGCAATTATTTCAACAGTAGTACAACAAAGATATATATTGTAGTATTGTATCAACTGGTAGCTCCTACATGATTAACTGCAGCCGGGACACAGCTTAATTCCACCAGCATATTTATTACTGTATATTTTACACGTATGATTATATCTATTGCACTTCCGGTGTTCGGCCGCTTCTAATGAAGCCATTATTTCACAGAGCAAAATTAAAGATACCGCGTTCCACCAATTTGTATCTTTCTCCCTAATTTAAGCCCCCTCTTTTGATGCTCTGTGACGCTTGTGTGTGTTTGGATGTTTACACTGGCTTAGCATAATTAAATTGAATAAAAACCATAAGGTTAAAAAAAAAGTCCCCCTCCACCCATCCGCGATACAGGTTTCTTCAACCAGCATATTTACTGCAGCTGTATTACACCTCCGGCGTTTGGCCGTTTCTGCTGCAGCTATCATTTTATGGTTACAGTGTTAGGCCGAATTCACCCTGACTTCCAGATCAATGGCCATAAAAGATGCAGATTCCTTCCACCCTAACAAAGGCCTTACAAAAACCAAGTAACCTGCGATTACTAGTTCACAAAACACGTAGACAGTTAATTTTATTTTACATCTACGAACAAGAGCCTTGCACCTATGATCCTCACCGTATTAAAGTTTTCACGTTACTTGTAGCGTGGTATTTCCATCAATCGGTGCAAAAACTTGTTTGTACGAGTATTTTTGCATTGGGAGAAAATTCGGAGGCGAGACCATACAACCAACTTAGGAGGACAAAACTTACGGGAAGTTCTTTTCAGTACGCACAGCTTTTGTGAAATGACGTTAACCGTTTGGGAATGCGATACAAAGTCACGTGGTATAACAGGCACCAAAGCCGCCCTTGAAGAAATCGATTCTTCACTCAACGAAAGTGTTGTCTACTTGAAAGACTGCCGATTTACTGCGTTCAGCATTAACCTTCGCATAATACTGCTAAATATACATTTTTCCAATGGTTTAGTCCGAAACGTGACACGTTCTACTTCCCACTTCGATGAGGATCTGCCACAAAAAGGTCCAAACTAGCCGTTAAGAAACCTGTTGTTAACATTCTCAATCTTTCCGTAAAGAACTTTCTTTAAAGTAAAGCTTACGAACTGCGTACATTTGTAACACATAAGAGAATGTTTACAACCTTACTTTTTGCACTTTGTGCACTCCTGAGTTGGGTGGCTGCTCAAATGTTTAGTAAGTCGTCATAAATTGCTAATATTTCCGTTTTGCAAGTAAACTTATTTTATGGTAACATAAACTTGCAGTACCACAGCCATACAACGCACAATCGTTCGACTCGGATCCTACGATGAGGACTTTTAACAGTGGCCAAGAAACCGGTACATTCTTTTCGCACCCGGGCTTTTCTAGCAAACCGCGACAGCCGTACGTCGCCGGAACAAAGAAGCGATTTATTATTGCTTTGCCCACGCATTGTCGCGCCCTGCTGTCTCTGGACATGACCAGCACCAGCAATTTTAACATTCGTGATTATGACTTTGGAGTGATGTTCGACGGGAAACTGGCTCAGAATTTGGGAACGTCCATGTGTGACCTCAATAATTACGTTAAACTCCAGCAAAGTGCGTGCGGTTATAACAATTTTTATTACACACCCTAAACTGCGAGTATACACTGTACATACGTATGTAAACTAACACTAATAACCAAAATTAATATTACCATACTTTAGCAGACTACAACCATTCAAATGCACGTGCAATTTAATTTTTGCGTTTAATAACAGTACTTACAATGGGTTTCTTCTCTTTGCAGAGGGCGTTAATTACCAGTGTAAGGTTTTCCAACTGTATTAATATTTCTGAATATAACGCAGATAAACCAATGCGTTTTCTTAGCGGTGTCCACTTCCGACATATCGGCAAACCGAACCTATTTGAGCAGTACCCATGTGGCGGTGTTTGACTTTTGCGTTGACCCGTACAACAGGGATACCGACATGACGCGCAGATTGGGATTCTCCATCAACTGGAGCTGTATTCGCAGTCCGGCGATTCCAATAACAGTACAGACGACAACCACAGCGCCTGTTAACGCTAATTGTGGTGTTCCGTTGGGCACAGGCAATCGACCAGCTTCCATGTTCCAACGCATTGTCGGCGGGGTCACGGCCGCACCTCTCGCCTGGCCTTGGGTGGTTGCTTTGGTTATTGCCGGACAAAAACAGTTTTGCGACGCTAGTGTGGTACGTAGGCCACTTATTCAAAACTGCATTGTGGTACGTAGCTCAATTAATTTCTAACAATGCAGACTACTCTAGTTCATGAAATAGATATATGGTCATGGGAGTCGAAAATATGAACAGTAGTTTTAACGTTTAACGGAACGACATAAAAACTCCGGATTTTAAGTATCCAATTTTGATATTGTTTTTTGCAGTTAAACAATCAGTGGGTTATTACCGCCGCGCATTGCGTTCAACCCTATGACGAAGGACTATTCCAGCAATACGTACAGGTCAGTACTCCGCTATAGACATAAGACATACCTCATCGTATGTCATGACAAATAATGGAATTTGCGCTTAATACCCGTTAGAGTTGATGTAACGTAACTTAAAATCTAACAACTGAATCTTTGCTCAGACAGCTTTAAATGTGGTAGCGACAATGTGGCCGTTACATGTTAATCTGGAATTCTATTTTAGGTTTATTACGGCAACCAAAATTTGTTGAAGGTTTCCGACAGCCAGGTAAAAGTCTCTCGCCGACAGAAATATTAGAAATTGTCCGTTTAAATTCTGAAAAGGAATTATGCCTGCAAGTTACTCGCACAAAGATTTTGACGACAATATAACGGCACTGGACTCTTCAAATTCAGAAAGCCAGCATCGCCCGCGCTATTTTCCATCCAAATTACGATAAGGAAGGCAACAAAAACGATGACGTGGCACTGATTAAACTAACAGCTCCCATTCCTAACTTCCCTAATTCCATGGTGTCACCTATCTGTCTGCCCAGCCAGGCGATCGGGACTTTTAAAGCGCAGTCATCTGGTATCAAAGGTCGACCGGATGCGTATGTGGCCGGGTGGGGGACTCTGTCCTATAAACAAAGTAAAACAAAAAATCCATCATAGTAAATGATACTTCCAGTGTATTTGAGTTTGCCGATAAAGCAATCTTAAAATTGCAGATAAAAGTGACGCAGTAATTGGATCCGGTAGTGATCAGCTTCGGCAGACCAATATAGAAATATTTAGCAACAGCGAATGTCACACGTCTGACCCTCGCCAGCCAGACAATGCGGTAATGCTAATTTCCCACTCAATTCGACAAAAGGTCAGAATACCTTGAGTTTTGCGTACTATGCTAGATTTGTGGAGGCTTGGACCAAGGGGGACGGGACTCTTGTCAAGGTACATTTTACCTTAACTACTTAAAAAGAGTCGACTGTTGTCTTCTTAGTCCTTACGGTTGCTTGACGGACTTGGCATTTTCATACATTTTGCACGATAATTATTACGATTCAGTGGGTGTCTAATTTTTTAATCAGTTCTCACTTAGGATTTCGTATTGCCAGCCGAGAACACAAACCTTGCCCATTTACATAGTTAATCAAAGCTGAAGGTATAGCTTGCTATGGCTGCCAAACTGAAATGTACAATTTATTTCCGGATGTCACGTTTTCACATGATTGTAGGTGATTCTGGAGGACCTCTCGTGATGGCCGAGCCACCCAGTTACAGCAGATACTCGCTATACGGAATTGTTTCGCAGGGTCGGGGCTGTGCCGTTGCTGGTGAGCCTGGAGTGTACTCCGATGTTTTCAAGCTAAAAAAATGGATAACGGACACAATGGCCTCTAACTAGTAAATTTTTGTATGGCCTAGTGTAGTCTGGATACGACTGCACAGAGGTTTTTGCAGATTTTTTTCTTAAACTGTTTATTCACAAGGCCAGATCCGTAACTGACCAGTAAAACCCTGTACTTCAGATGATTGGTTGTTCAAAATACGTATGTTTTGTGGTTTGTGCGCCTTCTTGCACCAGATGTAAATTTCGCATTTTACTCATGTTAGTGATGTACGAAAGCAGTACGGTCATTACTGTAATCGATTCCTACCATAGAAACTGGCTTCACCTTCTGGAAGCGGCCTCTGCAATTTGCCTTTTTAAAAATCTTACAGATTTACTTTGTACTGTACTCAAACAGGAGAAATTTTTTCCTGATGAGTAAATTAGAACTTGTATATCATTCTGTTTGTGGTCCACGCGGTCTATAGCTCTGCATGTGGTTAGCATGAACCAGTTTATTCGTAAGCAAATGTATCGCCATTATAATTATTATAACAACATTTCAATTTTGCTCTTTTCTTTATCAATTGATTCGACTGATTGGATAGATTATCGGCTGCCGCGGCCAGCGGCCAGTTATTTTCCATCGGCCGTTAATGCACGTTAGACGTTCGAGGCTCTTCTCTGGGAAATTTTGCTATCCCTTTGGCGTACATTTTGTAGAGTGTAGACC